TAGTAATAATAATAATTAGCAATAATATCATCTACTACTACTACTACTACTACTACTACTACTACGACTACGACTACGACTACGACTACGACGACTACTACTACTACTACTACTACTACTACTAACACAACTAAATGAAAAAAGTGCAAGCCTACTACCAACAATAGTATATTTGCCTGGACAGTGTCGGATCGTGATTATCTTGCAAAGTACAGGGCTGCAGATTTAATTATCGAACATCGACGGATAACGAGATATGACATGAAAAAACAGAGCAGGAAGCCAGCGGACACATGCAGCAACTTACTTTCAACTTATACTGGTTTTCCGTCGTCCTCCTGCGACGTTCCATATCTTCGCGGTATCTTCTTGCTAAGTCAAGCTCCGATATCCATCCGCCATGGCTGAGCCGTCCGCGTAAAGATTCGCTCCGGCAGCCCGGAATCTGCCCTATCATCCATAAGATGTCACATGTTCATGAGCGGCTCAACAAGCGAATCCCCACCAACTAAGGCTCATGTACGGTTCCTCCCACTCTACGGTCCAAGGAATTTTAGGTGATACCACCGAGCCTGTGCAGCAGAAGGGGCTCTGGAGCGTGCAACGAGCAAGGGCCATGAACTCGTAAGGTTCTAATGCAGGCCTGCGCTAAATGAAACTTCAAAACCTGAGTTAAGGGAAATGCTTCCATGCAGAGATGGACCTGGGAAGCAGCGTGGCCCCAGCTTCATTATAGATGTGTCCCCTGGATCGCCAACTGAACAAAATGGCCACTACGTGAGATGCCTGTGCAGGCACAATTCTCTGCACGTCGTCGGTGTTGCCGGAACGGTTCCTCTGAACCGACCCTACACCGGAGCCTCGACACGGACAGCTGACGGTGATGCCTCAGAGCAAGGTGGAAAGTCTGGTGCTTTCGGACGCATGCTTCAAAGCCTCTCGTGGTCTGAACAGCTTTACCGAAGGCACAGTGGCAAGATGTTATTCTTGGCCGTTGGCAGATGTTCGCTTCGGCCATGCAGGCCGCTCTACGTTTTCTACGCACTTTCAATGATTCGTTCACCGCTAGTTAGCTGCCCGGGATTGCCCGGGTGAAGCTCAGAAGCTTTGCAGATTTACTGGCGCAGCGACGAGGCCAAAATGCGTGCTGAGTGCACTGCCGCGCCACTCCGCCCATGCTGCCTGAGCTTGCAGGGAGGTCAGTTGAAAGCCTCCTGGAGTCTATGAAGACATAGGAAGCTTAGGACATGCTCAAAGATTCCAGCAAGCGAGGCCGCTGCAGCTGGCTTCGGAGCTTCGCGTTCTCGGCCCTGTGAGTCCGTCTCTCTGCTTGTTGGCTTCAGGCTCCGGAGTTGTTCGCTTCGAAACAGTAAACAAGGTCTTGAAGGCCCCCCCACAACAGGATCCGTGACGCTTTTCCCAAGTGGAAACTATGTGAAAAACACATCTGCAGGCACCACTCTCCTTCTCAACAACAGGTTGCATGTCATCCTCAACCCTGTCCAAACCATGAAACAATCAATCCATCTCTAAAGCTCTACAAGCACCACATCCGTCGAAAATCGGAAAGCTCGTTCCTGAGAGCTTCATTCTCTGCCCGTGCAGACGCCAAGTCTTGCTGCACCTGGTTCTGCGAGGCTTTTGACCCGGGTTTCGAAGCTTGGGCCTTGCTTGCCTTGAAGTCTTCGTGGCTACAAGCAGGGAGTGCCCTGAGATGATAGGTTTTGGGGCGTGCAGTAAGTATCTGCCACTGAGTCTGTAGGCTTGCGCCAGTGCTGTGGAGCTTCTTGGTTCGGCTGGGGTTCCATGGCAGAGATGGCGTTTTGCTACCAGGAACATCTGACATTCGGATAAGGGGTGCAAAAAACTCCGGCATATCCTTGCATTCGGTCTTCATCTGTGTAGTTGGCAGAAAGCAGAACATGTGCTCCTTTTGGGCTTCCAGGTTGACTCTGGTTTGTTTGATGCTTTAAGATCATCCGTTCGGCCCTCACCCGGGCCAAGGGAATACAGGGCTACCGATTGAGGTAGTCCGACTTATGCAAAACCAAGAGGGCAGCGCCGACAAAGGATGGACTCCCGAAGGGAGCGACGCAAGGATCTTTTATGCTCGCGAATGGGGGCTTGTGCCAAACAAAGTCTTCTGTGACTTGCGGCCTATGAAGGCTCTGAAGTTCTTTACAGGGGATGCTCTGCATGCCCACATGATCTGTGCTTGAGCATGACCTCTCAGTGCACAAACTTTTACCAAGGGCTTGCATCAAACACGTTGCTTTTCAACATGGCACAATGCAGGATTCGGAACCTTCCCTTGGTCCCTTGGTGCCGCCGTTAGGGCAGAAGCATCTGCACAGGCCCAGCCGGCACAGCTGGAACCATCGATCCTTGCGGGGGCAGGTCGGCAAATTTCACGTTGAGGCCTTCCGTCGCCATCCGTCGCCCGGCTGGTTCAACGAAGGAATACCCAAGTTCTCCAGCATCCTCTTCACAATGCTTGAACCACGAATAGCACTCGTACATCGATACTCTGTCGGCCTCGTCATGCAGCGAAAACTGCCCTGTCAGTTTGAGCTCCTGCTCGCTGCTGAGCACAAGTGGAACTCCTGAACTCGCACTGTTAATCCAGACGGAAGTGAAACCACAGACACAACAGGCACTGGAGTTCCAAGCTGAGTCGTCCTCGCTTCGTGAGTGACGCGTGCCTCAAGTCCTGCCGGCTCGTATGGCGGTTCGGGTCCGGTCCAGGAACAACTGGCGATGCTCCTCCCAGAAAGTCCGCTGCCGTTGTCATGGGAGACGGATCCATCAGATTCGGAATTTCCGAACGGCCCCACTCACAGGTTGAACACCATTGGGTAGCATTCGCTCATTACAGATCGCCCGTCTTCTCGACCAGGTAGCAGAGCCAGCGATAGCTTCTCGGGCGTCCACTGCCTATTGAACTTCGAACTGAGGTAGTCGGACTACCTCAGACGTGGCGCCGGCAGTTCATGGCTCCTGAAGGCCGAAGATCTTCTATGCTCGCAAATGACGGTGTGTGTGTGTGTGAAGTCTTCTGTGAGGTGTGGCCTATGAAGGCCTTGAAGTTCTTGACTGGCAATATAGGCAATGCTCTGCGTGCCGACATGATCGGTGCTTGAGCATGATCTCTCAGCACACAAACAAATTTGCAGTAGCAAGCGAGGACATGCATTAATGTCATTCACTGAGCTCAGCTCAAAAATGACAGAATGCAGGATTCTGCGCAATATCATGAACCAGAGCTCCCTGCACAACGGAATTCCTTCCGTTGAGCTATCGGAATGCGAAACTTCGCGAGTATACCCGGCTTAACAAACGCTAGACATGCACTCACGGTTCACACAGAACAGAAGACATCATAGGTTTCACATCTTTGGGACCCTTGCGATCAAGGGAGGCTAGCTTTGCTTGACTCCTCAGCCTCAGGGCTTACACGAAGGCACATACGTCATGCTCTTCCATCTTTGTCGAGTTACGGGTCTTGGCGTTTGGACACTCAGAGCAACCTTCTTTTCGGGTCGGCGCCTCTGATCTTCGCTAAGCTCGCAAGCTACGCGTAGCTGCGCGGGCTGTACATGAAAATCAGAACCGCTGCGAGGATCAGGCGAATATTGGTTTGGCCAGCGCAGCCTGAAACAGGGTGGGCAGGTCTTGCGACGGCAACGACCGCCTGCACCACCCAAAGGCGAATCACAGCTGACCCAGGTTTTGCCCAGCAAGCCCACCCAGCTGTGCCACCAATTTCTTGCATGCCTTCCACACTTAGCACGGCTGCCTACTCGACCATGCCTGCCCACGTGGCCCCACCAGCTGCATTCTTGGGCAAGAGGTTCGAAGCGAGATCTCTAACGACTCTAGTTTCCGCGCGCGGGCAGAATGTCGCTCGCAAGCTTCACTACAAGACAACACCAACTCGAATCTGAAGCCGGTGCCCTTGACAACATCTCGGCTACATAGTGACTAGTGTCGAAATTCAAGAAGCCAGTGCCAGGTGTTGAAAGCCTCAAACCCCAGGACCTCGTGCTCCACTTACGAACGAGCCTTTTTCAATGCCGTCCAAGCTCAACGGACGAAAGCTGTGGTTGGCGCTCCTCGACTGGTAGGACTTTCGTGCAACTTGAAACATCACTCTTCACAGGTCAAAGCCTGCAAGAGAAGGAAGAGAACGAAGGATCTCTTGTTTACCATGGTGTACCCTCCAGCTAAGTCAACTACACCCAACTCTGCCGCTCTGGGCTGCTCTTGTGACGGGCTTGCAGAAATACTGGCGACATGGTGTGAAGAAATATAGCCTAGTTCGAGATTTCGAATCCTCACGAATAGCTCTTCGCAAACATCCTGGTCCTAAGTCTAGCTCTTAACTATTTCAGGCCTGAGACTACTGAACCCCCCGTTTAACTTAGCAAGCGTGAACTTGACAAGTGCACGCAAAGGCTGTTTTATCCACCAGCTGACTCAAACAACGAAACCACAAAGCCTCGAGAGATTCCTGACGAGTTGGCTGTCGAGTTGCCGACAGATCAAGCAGATTTCCAGGATGTTTGCTTTGAGTCAACAGGGGTATTTGGACAAGAATTATGTGGTCAAACGACTTCAGTGAGAAAAATATAGGGACTTAGCGACTGCAAATTACGACAAATGCCTAGCCCCAAGCAAGTGCGTGCAAGGCTGCTGGAAGCACGGCTGACAGGACTCCATTGTCACCTTTTCTGCGGCGGGTTGAAGCCCAAAGCCACAAAAAGCTCTAGTGCAGAAACTTCGTGGGTAGCAGCATGGTGCTGTTGCTTTTGCACGAGGCCATGAACCCGACACCCTGAACGGTCCAAACGCCGTCGAAGTCTGTCTGCTCACGGCACGTTATCCATCTGTTTGGAAACAAGACTCGACAAGCCAAAGCCCGAATCCATCAATGTTTTGCATGCCGGGGCCGCATTGTAGGCCATGCGCTTCTCGAAGAAGATCTGTTTGGCTTCGTTGTACAAGATGCCTTCGATTTGTAATCCCAGTGGCTGTGCACCATCATTAGCTTCAGACACGCATCGCAAAGGTTCGAAGCCTTTACTGAGTGAGCTGTAACGATGCCGGCAAGCGCCATGCCAACCGGGGTTTCGATGTATCCTCGAGTTCGGCTGAATCCCTGCTATTACTAGTATGAGAGAGCAGCACCGCAGTTGCTGCAAAGCCGCGGTCCACAGGATCTTCATAGCCCTCCAGTTCTGAGATGTTGTAGATGTGATGGTCGCTGTCCCCCTCCACACTCCTTAGTCAACAACGTCAGAGACTGTTGGCTTTTGGTGGCTTCGAGCCCCCGGTGACTGTGGTGCCTTGGCCAAACATACCGAACACAGAAAGAATACGAAGTACTCCATGCAACACTGCCATGCCCTGCCTCACCTGTGTGACTAATCCGCATCGGCGGCCCAAAGCAGTGGCCGAAATCTTCTTGGGGTGCAAGGAGGCCAGCGAGAGCCGCCGCATTTGCACAGGCAAAATCACGTCTTGATTGAGGCAGTTACATATTTTAAGTTTGCCTCTTCCCATGTGATGCACTTGCCCTGTCCATCTCTTACTTAGACTTAGACCCTAAATTACTGGAAGGGCAGGCCGACGCGAGTCATCTTTACCACCGATGGTCCTGCATGCTTTGCACGCGAAGTGGAAGCGAGTACAGTTCAAGAAAAAAGAGCATTGAGATGAGAATATTGCATGGTTCGCCGTGCTAGTAGTCTAGTACCGCAAGCCTTTCGCGCAGGCCAGTTGACAACTCTGATCAGTTTCCTAGCCGTGTGCCTAGCCGCTAACTCGTCCAAGGCTCGGTCTGTTGTCCTCGAAGTCGGAACGCAGGCAGTCTCCTGACCGAACAGGACCCTGAACCCTAAACCCTGATCCGAACAGGGCTCTTCTGTTGGGTCGAGTCAATATGATTGTCGTAGACAGTGTGCGGACAATCGTTATTTGTTGCTGCAGCTCCGCTTGTACCATTCCTGCTGACTTTGTTGCTGCTCTTGCACGTAGTTCTTCCCAAAGCTAAACAGTGTGGCAAGCACCGGGACTGTTGCTTGCGGAGAACAGGATTAGGTTGCGGTGGCCGCGAAACGTGCACCGTCAAGCTGCCTGCCATTGCACGTCGCACAGTTGGAACAAATCACGACGTCGTATGAAAATGAAAGGTAAGGGGGTAATTTCAACAATGGTTGGAGCCACGATTTTCGTGGCTGGAGCAAGCTAAGGAGTAGTTGACATGTTCGAAGTTGTATGGCGCGACCAAGAGTCTTGTAGGGTCTAAGTCTGAGGGCCGCGGAACACTGGACTGGTCAGAGCGGTCCTGTTCGTCTACTTGAGCAACAACTACCATCTCTACTTCTGGTCGCATGATTCGGCCGAAGGATTGCGAACGGTGCCAAAAGACTGCAGGTACAGCAGCATGTTCCTATGTAAGCTAAGTCGACCCGACAGCTATAGCGCATACATGTGCATGCCTCCGAAGATGCGGTGGAGCAAACAGATGGACAGGTCCCACTCGTCCGTGATTCCGACAAACCTCGCAATACTAAAGCTTTAGTGTGCTTGTCTAGTGGCTGGAGGTTCAAGGGGGTGTCTGAATACCACCACAATCATCGCTTCGCATCGCTGCCATAAGTTTGGGCTCGAGGAAAGAAGCCACTTCGAAGGTCCTACCTCCACAGGTCTACATGAAAGAGAACAAGGATTGTGATTGCAGCCTGCCGAGGTCAGATACATGTCTCGGTCCCTTTTGGTTCTCGAATTGTGGAACTGCACCGCACGTCATCAAAACTTCTGGTCTTGACTAGGCGTGGGGCCTGGAGTCGGTGGCAACCGGACCTCGTCTCCACTGAGGCCGCCGCGCAAAACCTTCACGCAGTCTGGCTGCTGCCAATCTCGCGTCGGCCTCGCACTCGGGAAGCTGCGGAGCTTTGTCAAGTGTGCGATTCGGGGAACTACTTCGAAACCTTGGCTTGGCTCTCAGACCAACCGTTATGCGGTCCAAAACTAGTACGGGCATATGCCGAATCTGGTACTGGCAAATATGGCAGGGGTCGTCCTGATTCTGCTGATTCAAGGGTCAGTTTTGCACTTGCATACCCAGGGCCGAGTCCGCCTCTGTCAGCTCGTTGCACTCCTTGCCGCGGAGAAAACCGCAAGTTCACTCACGGTAAATTTGTGTCAACTGTGATGTGAAAGAAACACATGTCTCACCTGCAGTCTCGATTGCGCGCAAGTTTGAGTCCAATCGCAAGCCCCACAGTTGAAATCTTTTAGTGCAGCTTTTGCAGAATCCGGTGTATTTCGCTGTGAAGTGCCAAGTGAAGGCAGGACCCCGTTTCAGCGCACAAAAGGACACTGCACTGAAATGAGCGACAGTCAGAGTACGAAGCTCCTTGGGCGGTGGGTCCATGTCGCCGTCGCGCATCACTTGACACGTCATGCCACCTGCTGAACTCAGTCTAAGGGAAAGCTCGTGCCACATCTCAGTCACTTCCGCATATGCTCTGCTTCTGGTCTGGCATTCTTGGCATGTAGTGGGCCCTTACCTGATGAGATTTGAACTCCCGCTGCTCAAGACCTCTAGTTTATGGATCCCTGAACGGTTTAAAGAGCGCGAACTTCCGCTGACCTCGCTGCTTCTCCGCATAGCTGGCCCTTAGCAGCGATTCAAAGCCCGCAAATGATTGCTATCAAAGGTTTATGACAAGGGCTCGTCCCAGGATAATCAGAAGAAGGGCTGTAGAATCTAGAACAAACATGACGTCTGTGGTGCTTAGTTCTCTCGCAGATGATTTGCTGGGATGTCCGGCCCATTGCAATGTCTTGCGTGCTTGCAACATGCACATGGAGGTCCGAAGTAGTTTATCGACTGCAGCTCTTCGTTTGGAGAGTGTGACCGACGTGACCGAAGAGATTGCAGCGAGGCGCCGGAGTTTATCACCATGAGTCTAAAGGAATAACATGAGGAGGTGGCCTCCCTCACGCCGATCCTTCTTTTCGAGTCTGTGTCAACAGTTCCATTCCCTCCTAAGATGCATCGCCCGTCCCTTACCGGGCCCTAACCTGCGAATGCAGAGTGGGTAGGCCTTCCCACGCACTGATTTCCTTCTGTCCACACGCCAGGCCACAGCAACGGTTTGGCAATCGGACACTGAACGCAAAAGCACAAGAGGTAAGCATCTCTCATCGACATCGAGGGCCCGGATACACCTCAAATCCCGGAGATCCGCATGGTGTTGAGAGTTTGCACTGCCTCGTCGAAGTCCGTCCGAGAAAGTTGGCGTACAAGAACAGTAAGCGCATCGCCCTCAGAGATGCCGCACTGCAAGATAGTCTGCTTGTTGTCCAAGCGAATATCGTTGTGTAACAGTTCCATGTCATGCCGACAGGCAACAGGAATGACTTCTGCGACCCTGTTTTTCACTTGAGAAATTGTTTCCATCCGGCGGACAACCAAAGGGGTGCAGCTGCCAGATGGCCGAAGCAAGTTCAGGGTAATCCTTTCAAGCTCGGCCATGGCTTCTGCGAAATCTCTTCCTGCTATGGCCTGTTCGGGGGGGAGGGGGAGGAGGCGGAGAGAGTCTCGGCATTTTTGTGCCATTGGCTTAGAATTCTTTTGGTTGAACTACAAGCACCAGGAGGAAGCTTTCTCAGCCCAGTCTTTGTCTGTTGGTCTACTCTTTGTCGCTTGGGTGCCGCGACCAGATTCAGAAACGATAGACCTAAGATCTCAAGAGCCATCGGCTGCGAATGACCGTCATATGCGGGGAGTTGCAGCACGCTGGATTGGAGGGGCTCGCTGCAAGAAGCTGTGAAAAACTGCAGCGAAAGTAGGTCCCCAGACGCGCTTCCACCGGCAACGCCGTGCGCCCAGACTGGATCATGAAACCTTGGCGGAAGCAGTTGCCAAACGCACACGGTTCTTGCTTTTGCATTCCCCAAACAGCTTCAGTGGTAACGCCGGTTAGGAGCCGAAAGGCGTGAGGGCCTAAGGATACTGCGAACCTGAAACTAGAATAACTGAACATTGCGAAGACAAGTCTTTACAAAAGCTACTTCAAGAAGAGCCTTGGAACGCTGAGAGGATGCGCTGCTTTGGCTCCCTGAGCATCGTCACCAGGTGACCTTTCAGGGCTTAAAGAATCCAGGATGCTCCAGGTGAAAAGACCAGGCCAGGCCGGTCCCGCAAGGATTTGATTACAGTACTGTAAGGTGTAGGATGTAGCCAGCTTCAGCATGGATGCTATTCCCGCTGAAGTGAGTGCAGGCTTCGACGGTTCTCGGGCATCGAGCTCAATAAACAATCCACTCGCATCTAAGACATCTTCTTCGCCGCGTGTCCTTCCGATGGGCACACAAACTGGAATCACTGATTGCTCCCGCATAAGCCAGCCTGAAAAGCAACACCGCCCTTACGTCGGCCCAGTCCCGATGCATGACACTATTTCCACCAGCTACGACGATCCAACACTTTCGACGCCTTTCAGCTCCACTTCGTAGCTTGTTCCGATGCCTTCCTGCATGGTCAATCTCGTTGCTTGAAGGCTTCGGTACTGGTAGCTTGGTGTACCGGGTCTTGGGATTGCTGAACTTTCGGTGGCAGGAGAGGAGCTCGAGCGTGGGTTGGAGGTTTCTAGCACCGCGGTCTTTGTTGCGACGTCGACGTCCCTTGCGGACGAACATGCACGGAACTGGAATGCACGCCCATCGTCCCCATACCCCATAAACTTTTCATGATGGCTCCTCTCACGTAGCCACTCTGGCAAGACGGCAAATTGAACAGCAAACAGCAATCTTCTGTGACCAAGCCTGTCAATCAAAGAAATGCTCGCCAAAGGCACGTGGTGACTGTACTCGCAGTCGAACTTGCTTGTATTGCAGACCTTCCGGCTTCATTTGCAATTCCAAAACTGTTGCCAGCTGACGTGTCTCGAGCCCGCACAATCCGATGCCGCGAACCAGGCAATCACATGCGAGCAATAAGAACGCGATGTCCAAAACGCAAAGCTAGAAGAAGACTTGGTCTCCCAAGGCTCGGCTCCACAAATCCGGAGCAGATGCCCATAGCGCAACAAGAAACCCTAGATGTCAACAACCCCGAAGTCGGAGTCAGCGATTGCGATTTCCTGCCTCTATGGAACCCCGACAAGCAGGATGCATCGACAGGCCTGGGGGCACTGGCGAAAGAACTCATCCTCGAAGTGCTTGCCCAGGACTTTGTCATCCACACGGTAAGATGCGTTCCTTCGCAGGTCGTTTCCGACAGAAATGACACCGTTTTCCCAGCCCGCTGCTAGCAAAAGCTTCGGTTTCATCATGAGAACTGCATGTATCGTATGTAAGAAGCATGAATTCCGTGCGAGGGGTCTCAAGGCGCTTAAGCGACTGCCAGTATGTCAGTACCAAGTAGGATTCGAGGCGTGCTCATAGAAAATTAGCGGTTCTTTTGCGAAGCAGTCCAAGATGAAGATTAGACAACTTTTGAACCGACAATTGCCGGGTCTGGGGTTCGGCGCTTTGGGCTTGCAGGCTCGTCGGCACCTGAAACCAAGCCCACAGTATATCTCCTTTCCACGAGGGATCATGGTTTCAGGACTTGAACATGCGGGTCAGCTTTGGTTTCAGGTGGCGGCTGCGGAGAAGTTGGAAGGAGAATGAAAATCAAAATCCTGGATTCTCGTCATCCCTGCCTGATAAAAAATCTTGCAGGACCCCATGTGAGGGGACACGGCCTGGCTGCGCTGTTCCTACAAGCTTTAGGTCTCATGTCTTGCCTTGCTTGGCCTTGCGATGGCATCTGGAATCACAAGCATACATGACCTGAAATCCATCAAGCTTGGACTCTCCTTGACCTGAAGACAATACAAGGGGTTCGTGTCGAGCCTGGAATGCTCTGCCTTCTATCTGCCTTAGAACAGCAAACGACAGAAGCATGTCTTGAGCCCTGGCTCACACCAGGGCAAACCGCTGGTAGGTGAATCAAGGCATTCCTCGGTGCTGGCGACGAAGGTTCAGGGAACACAGCTTCGAAGGCGTCGTGTGCCAAGCGCACTTGTGCATCTTTGATGTTCTAGCAACGACGGCTCGCCGCTTCACCCACAAGTGTGTGCTCGCAGCCACAGTCATGGACATTATCCCAAGTGCACATGCGCCAACCCCTCTTGAGTACGAGAGCTGTACCTGAGCAAATGCTCGGACCCACCCAACCAGGCAAAGCTGCGGAGTTTGCCTTCTGGTGACAGTGGGAGGCAGATCGCACGTTGTCTCAGACGTACCGGCTACAAGGCAAATATGCAGATCCAAGACTCAAGAAGGAGGTCCCGCATTTCGGGATGTGCCTCGCAGCTGCGAGCTGCCAGCCATTCTTGATTCGACTCTCTGTACACTGCAAGATCAAGTCGCTCCAATAGAACGCCCTAAAGAGCCTCTCAGTCTAACGAAAACATAAGTTGTACCTGCCTGAAAAAATTCCTTGGCTGCCGCAACGTCTGCATACTGTCATTCCATCTCATTCCGAGGCAGGGTGGAGAGTGACATCTGCGAATCAATTCCATGGCATGGTCCGTGAGGGCCTGCACGGCGAAAGGAAACATGCGTAGCTTTGCTCAGCCGCGCTACCTGCTGTCAGCCCAGAAACCTTATAAAGTGCGAGCCGCCGTTCCTCAAGCCCTCGCGTCTTTATGACAAGCACTGCGAAGACCAGGCCCCTTAAAGTCGCTCAACATCCCTCACGGCTCGAAAGGGCTGGTTCCTGATGGCCGCTACTGTCGGCGAGGCGCAGCCACTTGATGGGTTCGGCAGCCCGAAGCTGGGGCAAGACCAGGGGTTCCTAGGGTGCAGATGTTTTTGGTTCCTTCGTTTTTTGGTCTGTGGGGGCGGAAGTGAAGGGATTGCGAAGAGCGCGTGACAGCCGCAGGGACGAATCCAAAAACCCCACGAGCCCAGGTTGGACTGTGCTCTGTAAGAAATGCACAAGGTCTTGTGCACGTCGTCGCCCAAAACCCAAATATTGCATGGTCAGAAGGAAAAACAAGTAAAAAGAAGGAGGGTACGGAAAAATGAAGCTAAAATAGATATAGATACAAAGTATAACTAAATTTAGGAAACACAGTGTATATGTTTGGCGCATATATATATATATAAAGTATATACATGTAGTATATGCAGTATCTACAATCTTCCAAAGTACATACAAAGCATATATATCTATACCCATACTAAAATACATACAAAGCATATATATATATATATATGTATACATACCCATACTCATCTATCTAAAGTGCATATGTATGTACGTATACACGTATGTGTAGGCGTATATATATATATATACATATATATATATATATATGTACAGAATATAGAAGCTAGATGTACATATCATAAATAGGTTGTATACTACGCGTTTTTGTTATATTAAATGGTAATACAGTCTGTTTTGGGCATAGTAGTATACATGCTGGTTGTGTAATATATATATATATACATACATATACATAGATATATTACCTATATCTGTATATATATATACATATGTTATACGTGTTGCAAGTACACATGGTCTAGATATGTATATATATATATATATGTATAGAGCATGAGTGTATAGTATATACACAATGTGTATAATATGCACATATTCATGCCTTGGAGGTTGTGTATATGTATATATATATACACTGAAAATACTCTCTCCCTGTCTCTCTCTATATATTGCATCGAAGATGTATACTGGATATCCTATACATCGTTCTTATCTCACATACCCTAGTTTAGATGGTATGTATATATACATACATAAACAGAGACAAAGTATAAACAGTATCACATGCATGCGCATATGTATATATATATATATATATTTTTACATATATGTTTGAATGCATATATAGTATATACACTATGTTCACGGTAAGCACAATATACTTTCTAAACATAGCATATATAGTAAACGTGGTACTTTACACGCAAAGCATATAGCACACGCAGTATCTGTCTATACTACATATATCGTGTATGTCGTCTATGGAGGATATGCAGGATGACCAGCATGTATAGTATACAAACCGCATAGAGTATGTATACAATATATATATATATATATATACATATATATTTATTGCCGCGTGCTCTACTGAATC